ATCGGGTGTTTGATTGATTTGTTGATTTCCATGGCTTCCAACAAATTCATTTCCTTTTCTCTATTACATACGTATACGATTTTGAGGTTATGTTTACATGTTTTTTTTGATTCTTGTAGATGTTCATACATTGTAGATTTGTAGTCCAAATAGACGTGTCTACTTAGTCTCACGTCAGAATTTCTACCGGTTTGGTCTGTATATGTATACTGCAGAGCATTTGCAATACCCTTTTCTATGTTTACTTGATTTTTCAATTCTATTGTTTGAGTTTTGCATTGAACAGAGTTGTGCCTGAATTGTCATTGAAAATTACTTCTCTGAATACAAAATAACAACGGAAATTAGGAGAGTTATCCTTGGTATAAAATTCCTGCATAAATTGAGAAAATCTCCCAACAAGGAGATTGCGGTTGCTGTATCTCTTGATATTGAAGGAGCATTTGACAATGAACTACCTGAATCTATAGGATTGTCTCTGACTAGGAAGGGTATAGAAAACAAAATTGCTAGTAAACAAAATTGCAACTACGACTCTTCAAGGCGAGGCTATCAGGTTCAGGGTCACCAGGGGCTGCCCTCAAGGTGGGGTACTATCCCTCTTCTGTGATCCCTCCTGATGGATAGTCTGCTTAATGTCCTCGACAGAAGAAAAGTTGATCTGCAAGCTTATGCAGATGACCTTGTCATCCTGGCAAGGTCCATGTTGGAAAAGGCTTGTAATATCCTCCAAAACACGTTAGGCGTTGTTCACAGTTGGTGCCTGAGGAAGCAGATGTCTGTCAACCCCAGAAAAACTGTGATAATCCCGAAGGGGATTATCACAGTTTTTCCATTTGGAACAGAGGTGAATCACGCTCACTTGGAAAAAGTTGTACACGAAGCCAGAGAGTCTCTATGGACGTTTCGAAGGATTTGTGATAAAACATGGGGTTTAGGTCCTTAACAAATCCATTGGATTTATGTGGTGATTGTCAGACCGACAATCACTTATGGTGCAATTGCCTGGTGGTCGAAGGCTTACAGAGACAGGCTTGCCCAGATATCAGTGGTGCCATCAGTACCACACCGTCTGCGGCCATGGAGATCCTTCTAGATCTACTTCTCACCACATTTTTCTGGAGAGAGAGGCTGGACGGACTGCATACAGACTTGTGCACATTGCCAATTGCACAAATCAATTAAATGCAGAGTGCTTCAGACTGTTGGTTGACACTGGAAGTCACAGCACTCTGGAAATAACCTTTGACTACATGCCTCCAACGGTCAAACGAACTGCCTTATAAAGTACTATTCTCGAGTAGAAAGGACTGGATCCTCTGGGAGAAGGAAATATTAAGAGCAGATAGTTGTTGGTTCACAGATGGATCAAAAAAACCTTCCGGTTCTGGTGCAGGTGTTTTCAGTCGCAGACCCAGGACAGAGATATTTACCTGCCTAGGAAGTTATGCGACTGTATTTCAAGCGGAAATTTACGCTATTGAATTATGTGCGGAGAGATTGGATCAAAACATCTTCACACATAAGTCAATAAAAATATTCTCGGACAGTCAATCGGCGTTGGTAGCTCTTGGCTCCTACCGAGCAACTTCTAAATTGGTAGCAAATTGCCAAAAATGACTCCTCGATAGAAAAACTCAACAGTCTGAATTCTGGTCTGGATTCTGGTCTGGATTCTTGGCCTGCTGCTGACTCTCTTGCAAAGGAGTGTGCTGCAAGCAGCTTCATAGGACCAGAACCTGTCATGGGCATCGCCTCAGGCTTTGCCAAACAAACATTGAACCCCTGGATTGCAAGAAGATTCATGAACTACTGGCAGGATTTGTTCAATCCAAGGCGATTATTAACCCTTTCAAGCTTGATACCAAACAGTTGTTGGACTACAGTAGGGATGAACTACGATGTTTAACAAGTCTTCTCACTGGTCACTGTCATTTAAATCATTATATGCAAAGACTTGCACCGTCGGAAAACAGGTTGTCTCACCTCTGTTTGGAAAATAATGAAACAGTAGAGCATATAGTTTGTGCCTGCCCCGCTGGGGACCGAATCACGTTCTTAGAGATCGGCAGAGCCGTACTCTCACCATCTGACTTGAAAGACCACTCACCATACAAACTAATCGGCTTCGTTAAGAAGCTGGGTTTATTTGGCCGAGTGTGAATAGGTGTGAGCCGCAATAAATCCTTGCGGGTTGCGGTGGAGGGTCGAATAGACCCACTCACTTCAGACCTCACCTACGAAGAAATTTCTTTTCTAGACCTGAAGAATTTATTTAAATTCGAAATGATTCTGTAACCCAACCAATCTTTCTTCAGAAAAATTACTGGATCACTAAACTAGTTGACTTTCAGATAGATGTGCTCAATTTTTCATCGGTTCAATGTTCTAGCAGTAACATCGAATTCGTGTTCGTATGTACTGGAGTGAGCCGCAAGTAGGACGTACCTCTAATAAATTTATGAGACCCGAGATTTACATATGCTCCCAACTCTTTGCCGAAAATACAAAACAAACATCCTTCACTAGGAATTCAGTGGAAACGTTTTGCTGGAAAACAAAATTCTATTGAGCAAGATAGAAACAGACTGTGGTGCATTGTTATTCCAGTCACTATCGGCCACGTCAAGAGTTCTTGCGTTTGGGAAAAATTCAGGATTTTCTATAGGATGTGTTTTCCCATGAAACAGCATTGGGAAATTGCCGAGTGGATTCGGGCAGAAACAAGGTCGCATAGGTATAAAAGCGTGATATATGTTTGAACTCCTATTAGTGCAAGGAATAAAGGTAAAATACAGAGAAACTGTGTAATTTCTCTAGTAACTAACAATTTATAAAAAAATTTGGTGTTCGTTTCTACTCACTCTCTACATCAAAGTTGATCCTTCAACGGAGGTTGCTTCTGGTCTGGAGGCGGATGCTACCAATACTTTATTTTCACGAAAGTCCCTAGCAACAAAACTGGGTGATTCATGATCAAAATAATGTTGGTCACTTATTGGAGAAATGAACTTTCTTGAGCTCATTTTGTTCCACTTTCAATTTATCCGTTTGAAGAGAAATAACAGATTTTCAACAAACGATTTGAATTGGGTCAAGATATATCATGAATCCAACTTCCTTTTGCTTTTTATGAGCCTCATTTTTACTAGGAATAATTATTTCCATAACATGTCTGAAAAAGTGGTTCCATTGGTTGAAAATTCAACACTTTCAACAGTCTCTTGGTGATACTATAAACAATGTACCTGAATACAGCAACTCCTTGAAACTACAAATGAACAATAATTTCACGAAGACAAGGCTGTCCGTGGTATTGAGTTGATGTATTTCTAAACTTCTAAAATTATTTCGAAAATTCAAGATAACTTCAATATAATACTCCTTATTGACCGTATGGCCCTGTGACAAAAACTTCTGATGCATTACGCCACGGTAATTGAAGAAATAGTGAGCAAAAACATGAAATTTGATNGTTAGGTCAACAAATTTTATTATATCAATGTTAAGCCAGTGTTCAGAGAGGTAGACAACTTTGTTATTATAATAATCTAAAAACAATGATAGTTCATCTATTTTATTTGACAGACATTGGATATTAAGGTGAAAAATTGTAAACTCACTTGTATTTAGGAGTGGTTGAGGATTATAGTCACTGTTCACTTGATTTGCTAAACTTGAGGCGCAACCTGACTCAAGGATATAAAAAATCATCCAGGAGACCTACTTGATTTGAAGAATCATAGGGAGTATCCTGGAATATTTGCATCCATGTATGATATAATAACTTCCGTTATCAAAAGAATGTAAAAAAAAAACTTTCAATGAAATCAGTTCGGAAAATAGCGAAATTACAGCAAAATTCCGTACTAACTTCATATTTTCAAATGCTTGTTACACTGTTCAAACTTTCTGTTACCAAAACCTCGAAATGAAATTGATTTTTCACTTATTTTCCATTATTTATTATTGAACGCAATAAATTCATTCCATTCCATTTCTATCCCAAACATCTTGCAAAACGACACGATCCAAACTGAAATTGCTCCAGTTCCCAGTCCCTGCATTTACTTCAAAAGTCGATATAACGAAATCGTTCAAACGAACTGTTTTGCTCATTTCAATCGAGCAATCCGCTGGCATACTGCCATCGAATGTTTCATGTTTCGGAGCTTACCCAGAAAATACAGCGAGTTGGACGATATAATAAATATCTTTCAGTTTATTGTTTTCATCGACTCAGTGCATTCCGTCATCATTGTGGAAATATAATACCGATTAAGTTCTTTCTCTTCTGGCTGTATTTCATTCGTCATCCTTTGAAGGGGATCAAAAAGAGGGATTGGAATATCCTCGAATCCGTTTCTGTTTTATGTTTTGAGTAAAGAGTATCCTCTAACATAATATCTGTAGTATAAATACCCCAAATGTTTGTGGGATATTCAAAACATTGGAGTGGGAATGTAATTCTTTATCAAGGATGGTTCCTTATAGTACAGGTAATAGAGGATTTCGTTTTGCAAAAGTAGGCAGCAGTTATTTCATTGCATAGATAGTTGCAGTCTGACTTAATTAACCCAAAAACACAAAATACTTACAAAAATGGCAGACGGAAGTGCCGCCATTTTGTGAAAACCCGTTTGGGCCTGTATCTCCGTGACCGTGAACTTTAGACTCACAATTATGAGGACCTTTTTTATAGATAATTGAATTTCCTATCTTTTTTGTTCGGAAAACTTTGTCTTAGCACTCACCGTTCACGACTTATATTATTATTACTTTTTGTTTTTCAACTATTCTATCTAGTGTCTAGAAAAGTGCCTAGAGGATGACAGCACGATGTTAACTCGAAGATTCTCACGGATAAAGTATGATGAGCTGTTTTCTCGGGTTTCGCTCCGAGTTCTGTATATTTTATCCCCATAAGGACTATTTTCACAACGTTTCGGCAAAGTCCCATTTGCCATCTTCTGGTGAACTCTGTGTCTCAATTTATAGGGATGGATGTTTCCCTTTACCTGCGTTGCACACGTTCGAGGAGGTTGGCAGACAACGATCACAGACAACAGGAGTTGAACACCATCGAAACAACTCTACAAATGAATAACTACTCAGAAAGAAGTATAAAAGCGGCTGCCAAGACCACACGGAAACAACAAAAAACTCGAGATACACCGGTCATAACAACCACACTACCATATATTGCAGGAACAACAGATAAAATCAGCAGAATTCTTCATCGACACAACATATCAACTTCGTTCGTACCAGAACGGACAATAAGGTCCATGCTCCGTAATCCCAAGGATCAGATACCACTGGAGTCACAAGGAGTGTATGAAGTACCATGCCATGATTGTGACAGGACTTACATCGGCCAGACCAACAGACGAATCAACATTCGCAAAGATAAACACAAACTAGCAGTGAAGGGAAAAATCACCACGTCGTCTCTCTTCCAACACGTACTTCAGACAGGACATAACATCAATTTCGATAACACAAAAATACTAGCAAGCAACGAAAACTTTCACTCGCGAACAATCAGAGAGGCTATCGAAATTGAAAAACGACCTAATAATATGAACAAGAGGGATGATGCGCAAAGATTACCATCAACATGGAGATCCGTTTTATCGCTTTGCACAAGCAATCAGCTTGCTCAACCCAAGAAGCAAAACTCGGCACATGACAATACAGGTACAAGAAAAGAGGCAGGAGAGGCAGCTCAGGTAATAAGACCAAAACAGTTAGTCGAGCAAACACAGGTAGTGGCAGCAACGCAGGTAAAAGGAAACATCCATCCCGATAAATTGAGACACAGAGTTCGAACCAATCAGTCTAGTTTAAAAAACCAGACATTACCAGAAGATGGCAAATGAGACTTTGCCGAAACGATGTGAAAATAATCCTTATGGGGATAAAATACACAGAACACGGAGCGAAACCCGAGAAAACAGCTTCAAAAACTGAATTTCTTTGAAAGCTTCTGAAAATTCCCTTTCATATTGTCTCTTCAGCTATCACTATCGTCATTTACATCAATGATGAATTTATATACTTAGCCTTTTTCAACCGAAATTACTTTTTCAATCCTTTTCAGCCAGTCTTCTTCAATTAGCTATATTACCTTCCTATAAAATTTTGTTTGCAAGCATGTTGGGCGTACACATTCCCGAACCATCAATTCATCCTTATGTAACTCTTTCGTGAATATTATACCAAGTTTCGTCCAAATAGAAAATTGCCGTTTTTCTTGTTAATATTTAGTTATTTGTTCTAAGTATTTGTTACGCAATTCCACTATTCTTCTGCTTTCCATAACTGCTTGACGTTTGTTCATTATTTTAAATCTAAATTCTAGTTTCTCTATCCAATTCTGAAGAGTTTTGTCACAGCAACTAACGTTATGACCGGAAGTATTCAATTTCTTCCTTATGATTTCAGTTGTAGGAATCTCATTGCTTTTGTAACAGTCATATATTGTTTTTCTCAATGATTTTATCAGATGAACATTTGAAGGTTTTCGTAATCCTGTATCACATCGCGTCTTGAGTTCATAAGGTTTGTTTTTGACTATTTTACGTACAGTTGAGAAAGGAATTTCGGTCAAAAATGATGATGCTTGTAAAAGTTTGTTTCCCTCGAAACCGAACTTGAGATCTATATTCTTATATACATCGAAACATACTCTCTGTGTTTCAATATTCAAATACTTCCGAATCTTATTCAGTGGCATCCCTTTTTCGCATTGTTCACCATCGCTATTGGAATCACTACACTGGAAAAAGACTGCGTTGTTATCACACTCGTTATTAGTACTATTAGTATTTGTAACAGATAACAAAAATGTTTATTTATAATATCTGCAGCAATATCTAATTTCAATAATCAAATCGCGATCAGTTCCTGAACTGATCACGACGGCGATATTCATCTCCGCATTCACCGATTTCTATTCGTCACCGTAACATGACTTCAAATTTAATTTTATGACTCTTCACTCAGTCATAAAACTTGGTTAGTAAAAATCATCCAATACAAGCCTCCAAGTCTACAGTCCACGTGGACCAGTTCGCTGCCGGTTCATTTCAATGTATTGTTTTTTTTTGGCCTTTCAGAGTGCCGCCTACTTTAAATGTGCACAATATCGTTTACTTCGATTTTACCATCTCTCTTCATCGTTTGCGTGTGTCAGAAGCACAGATTTACCAATCTGTACAAAAATATCTCATTTTCATGTAAAATGAATAACATTAATTTGTTCATGACTTGAATTTCTGTACCATGCTCACCTACTTTCCAGTAACGTTCAAGACGAATTGAATTATTGAAACTTTTCCTTACTGCCTCTGCCTGTGCAGAGATATATCACAAATAGGGAACTTCGCGCGTTCCAAATAGGATATATACTTGATTGAATCGAAGTCAAATGTCAGAATCTACACTCTCGCGAAGGTAATTATTCATACCTTCCCTGCTACGATAACAATCTACTCTAATGATGCCGATTTATCTCCCTATCACTCGAAATATACACCCGAATATTCTGGAAGGGGAATTGTCACGTCGCGTCGTGATGTCGCTCTACATTGAAAATGTCAATTGACACCTGATGTGCTCATTATCTGTAGTGTATTTCAGGCGTATATCATTCATTTTTGAGCGTAACTGAGTGTGATATCCAAGAATGGGATCTGTCATAATGATTTTCTATCGGGAATGTCAGATTCGAAAACTGATATTTTCAGCTGTTAACTCGTGATGAGCCCACAGTTGATTTTCAAAAAAAACACCCCGTACTTTCCTCACGGCACATTTTGTAGTGCCGTATATCACTTTCAAACAGAGTCATATTGAATGAATTCTCAAGTGGTTCCATGTCAACAAAGCTTGGTCTTGATGGAAAAGCTATCATCAAACTTGAAAAATCTACCACAAACTTACCATAGTACTTTCTGTAAATTCATTTACTGATTCATTACTCAGTATGATCTGACAATGTATATGTCAACTCTTCCAAAACTATTCAATCAGGTTAGAAGTATTCACCTTTTCTGACGTCTGATACTTATTGCGTAGAACCATTTCCTCTGAGCCATATGACATCTGTTCTAATTCCTAATTCTCCTTTTCCTGGACAAAATTTCAAATGATCCTTCCTGGGTCTGGCACCTCTGATACATGTTTGTTTTCTACTACATTGCCTGAAGCTAATGTTTTTGTTATACAACCGAATTTTATTCTGGCTTCTGCTAAATCTGAAGTGTCCTTGAAAGGAGTTCAATATTTGTTCTGTGGGAATCCCTGATCTGCTGAAGCAGTTCTGAAAAATTATGAGTTAGAAGTACAAGGTCTGGTGTTTTTTTAGTACCTTGGATAATTATTGATTGATTGATGAAACAATGTTTCATCATGCTATCTCCCATTGTAGGTCAGTACTGTACCTGAAGTGCTGTTATACTTTGAAAAAGTACGGTTATTTTGAGAACTGAAAATTTATTGAGACATTTTCACAGGAGTTAGTTTTTTTAACTTGATTGCTTTCTTCCTTCCATCAAAAGATTTCTGGATATTTTTTGTTGTATAAAAATGAAAAATTAGAAAACCAAAACCTTCTATTTCCAAAAATCAATATTTCCTAAAAATAATTCCTTTTCAATTCATACATTAGTATTCTCGCTTCTATTGTGATGATGGGAAAATCGATATTCAATAATATGTGTGATTGATGACTCGTTTATTTTGTGGAAATTAATGATCACCTGATTGAAATGAATGAAATCACTTTTGTCTAATTTCCAATAGTTATTTTATTTTTACGGCCAGTTTCGGGTTTTATCGTATTATTTATAGAGCTAACATGTGAAATCTAAAAACTCGGTTGAATCGCTAGTTTTTAGGTAGGCTAGAAGGAGAGTAGTTAAATGAACAAGGATGCCAACTATAAAATTCAACACTGAAGATTATAGGGGTTGTTAAACTTATAAATTCAAGAGTGGAGACCTACATAAATCGTGTTGCTTATTTAGGGGTATATAAATCGGGTGTTTGATTCACATAGCTTCCAACAAATTCATTTCCTTTTCTCTATTACACACGTGTACGATTTTGAGGTTATCTTTACATATCTTGTTTTTGATTCTTATAGATGTTCATACATTGTAGATTTGTTGTCCAAATAGACGTGTCCACTTAGTCTCACGTCAAAATTTCTACCGGTTTGGTCTGTATATGTATACTGCAGAGCAGTTGCCATACCCTTTTCTATGTATACCTGATTTTTCAATTCTATCGTTTGAGTTTTGCATTGAACAGAGTTGTGCCTGAATTGTCATTGAAAATTACTTCTCTGAATACAAAATAACAACGGAAAATAGGAGAGTTATCCTTGGTATAAAATTCCTGCATGAATTGAGAAAATCTCCCAACAAAGAGATTGCGGTTGCTGTATCTCTTGATATTGACAATGAATTACCTGAATCTATAGGATTGTCTCTGACTAGGAAGGGTATAGAATCGATCATAACTGGCTGGATCTATGACATGCTAGTGAACAAAATTGCAAATACGACTCTTCAAGGCGAGGCTATCAGGTTCAGGGTCACCAGGGGCTTCCCTCTTCTGTGATCGCTCCTGATGGATAGTCTGCTTGATGTCCTTGACAGAAGAAAAGTTGATCTGCAAGCTTATGCAGATGACCTTGTCATCCTGGCAAGGTCCATGTTGGGAAAGGCTTGTAATATCCTCCAAAACAGGTTAGGCGTTGTTTACAGTTGGTGCCTGAGAGAGCAGATGTCTGTCAACCCCAGAAAAACTGTGATATTCCCCTTCACCGAGAGGAAAAAATTGGACGATCTTACGCCACTTTCCCTCAATGGTGAGGTCATTCCATTTGGAACAGAGGTGGAATATCTTGGCATTGCCTTGATAAAAGAATTACGCTCACTCGGAAAAAGTTTTACACAAAGCCAGACTGTCTCTATGGACATATCGAAGGATTTGTGGTACAACATGGGGTTCAGGCCCTGAAAAACTCCATTGGATTTATGTGAGGATTGTCAGACCAATGATCATTTACGGTGCAATTGCCTGATGGTCGAAGACTTTACAGAAAACGGCCCAAGAGAAGGTCTCTGGGTTACAGAGATAGACTTTTCTGATTATCAGTGGTGCCATCAGTACTCCACCGTCAGCAGCCATGGAGATCCCACATTTTTCTGGAGAGAGAGAGACTAGACGGACTAAATACAGACTTGTGCACATTAACAATTGCACATATCATGCAGAGTGCAACAGACTGTTGGTTAACACTGGTAGCCCTAACATTCTGGAAATGACCTCTGACTTCATGCCTCCAACGGCCACCTACAAACTGCCTTATAAAGTACTATTCCCGAGTAGAGAGGACTGGATCCTCCGGGAGAAGGAAATATCAAGAGCAGATAGTTGTTAGTTCACAGATGGATCAAAAACACCTTTCGGTTCTGGTGCAGGTGTTTTCAGTCGCACACCCAGAACAGATATATCTACCTGCCTAGGAACTTATGATGCGACTGTATTTCAAGCGGAAATTTACGCTATTAAATTATGTGCGGAGAGATTGGATCAATTCAACTTCACACATAAGTCAATAAAAATATTCTTGGACAGTCAACCGGCTTTGGTAGCTCATGTCTCCCACCGAGCAACTTCCGAATTGGAAGCAAATCTCGGCCATACTGGCCTGCTGCTGACTTCATTGCAGAGGAGGGTGCTGCAAGCAGCTTCATAGGACCAGAACCAGTCATGGACATCGCCTTAGGCTTTGCCAAACAAACATTGAACCTCTGGATGGCAAGAAGATTTATGGACTACTGGCAGAATCTTCCAGAATTGGTTC